CCCCCCCAGGTGGCAACAACAAACACCCAAAGGCTGTTCACAATGCACCGGCCTGCACCAGTGATGCCATTTAATTATCAAATTCACATTTACGCAAAAACTTCCATCGTCCTGGTCAATTACTATCAGAATCAATGTACATAGTATGTATCAGAAAATTAAATGAAAAATTAATCTGTCCGTCCTGAGCAGTGTGTTGCCCTGAACTGACTTGCCAGCTCACAAGCTGTACGTGCCTATCATGCCAATACAGGTGTGCCACCTACTGGGCGAACCATTAGAGAAAACTATTTCACACTAATTCCTTGTAGTCAACCGTGCGAAATATGATTTATCATTCAGACGAAATTCAGGCTCTTAAATAAACAGAAAATATTCAGTCAGAAACACCATACTTCTTCGTCAAAAAATGCCCTCTCTTTCTAGTGACTGTAATAATTTCTTGCTCAAGGATGTCCTGCACTTACCAATATAGACTGCCTTACTAAATGTAACTTATTTTAGACATGGTTGATGTTACTTAAAAGAGTTTTTCGCGTATCAGGTTCATCCTGTTTTTAATTGTAACATTTTCAGGTATAAATCCTGGCAAACCTGAAAATGTTTATATGGGCCTCCCTTGCAAGGCTTTGTCAGGGCTTGCCTGAAAGCAGCGTCAGATTACTAGGTCCGACCTTATTTAATAAACTTCGGTCCAACTGGTTCAACCAGTTGGATGGCAATAAATGAAAGCAACCTAAGTAAATGTTACATATCTGACACTTTGTGAATTGAATTTTGCTAGTCTTGGTCAATATTATTTATATTACACATTGTGGATGTTACTTATCTACAATTTTTCCTCAGTCATGTTTTTTTTTTCTTACACAAATCAAGGAACATACTATCAGATTTACCTCATACTCTGATTTGTAATGGAATCTTTTTGGTCTTTGTGACATCACAATCGTAATCGTAATCCAAAAACTGTTGTGAATGTGTTATTACAGCGTGAGTGTGAGATAAGTTACGATACTCTTTTGTGTTGTAGGTGGGGAATGTAGTTCAGAGGACTATAAGGACTGGTCCTTCCCCGACAACCCGCCCTTTGCTGGCTGTATCCTCGGCCGTAAAACTGTGTACCAGCGCAGAATTGCACACGCATTCTGTTACAACGGCCTTGACTACGAACGCAAGGTCACACAGAACAACTGCACCTGCAACCGCGAGGACTTCGAATGGTAAAACATGATCGGGTGATATCGTTAAATCTTGTACGGTAAAACCTGATTATACTGCCCAAGTTTCCTCAGTGAAATTATGGCATTATAAAGAGGTCTGCTGATATGTCGAGGGAGATTATAAGGAATTGTTTACCCTTTCACCACTGTAGACTATAATGGATTCATCCAGATTAATGCATGGTTGGGTTTCGTAAAGTTACATACGGGTGGAAGGGTTAAAAAAAAGGAAAATGATATCTAAGGAAAAATGTTAATTGTTAGTAATGTGTCATCTACGCTTAACAAGTGTTCGCTTCGTATACACTCCACTTACCCTTGGCAGATATAGCCGCGTTTACCGAGCCTTCAAATTTTCGTGCAGTGGTAATTGCTCGCATCCAATGAAATCGCGTCGTACATATATAGAGCTGTTGACGAAGGAAAACAGTAATGGCGACGCCCTGTACGGAAGCACGCTGTCGTTTATGTCAGTGTTTTGCCCCCCAGAAATAGGCGTACGATCTTTCGGGAAACTTCTGGAGTGTTAAATTAATTGATGGAAATCCTTGACTACGTGCCACATGTAAATGATGACCTGGGAAAATATGTGTGCTGCCTTTGGATTGTTTCCATATTGCTTTGTCATTAATACTCCGCCTCGACATACACGTGCTTATGTCAACACGCCGATGGAGTGTGTATGAAACGGTCATTCTGATTGGTTAAAAGTTGTTTGGGAGAAAAGTGATAACTCGTTATATCCGCTAGGTGGCAGTGGAGGCAATTATGAAAACAAGGCTAAATTCGCCAAGAGTTAGTGGAGTGTATACGAAGTGAACTTTATTTGTAAAAAAATCAAAAAAAAATCACAGATGATCTTGACTTAAACAGTGCTTATTTGAAAATTGAATGAAAAGTTTAGAGTAGGCTGAAACAAGATTGATAGGTAGGACTTTAGCTCAAATAGCCGCCATGGCATTCATTAACTTTCAGTATTATCAGAATATAGTTCTTGTGCCTGCGTTCCATCTTTTCAGCATTTAACCCTTTCACCCCTATGTAACTTTAGTAGACTCTACCATGCATTGATATGGATGAGTCCATTATGGTCTACAGTGGTGATAGGGTTAATAAGGTCAGAAATCTGATGTTAGGGTTATGACACCTTTGGCTGCTTACTCCTTTTATTATGCCCTATTTCAGAAGGATTCATACCTACTTCGTCACCTATTCAGCCTCAAATTATGATAAAATTTGTTATATTTCAGTGACTTTGGATTTAAGCTAAATACGTCTGGTCTAATATTGGGGCTAGGTACTTGTGACGAGGATAGGGATTCCTATATCGACGTACACGCTATTCCTGTACCCTGTCCTCCCGGGACCTATTACAAGTACACCAGAGGGTAAGTCTGGCCACTTGTGTTGTGGCGATAATCAATTATAATCGAAAATGAATCGATTATTATACAAGACGTATTGATTGTACAACCAATTCAAATGAACTGATTGGCAAATTTCGTAATCAATTATTTGGTTTAAACTTTAAGTGTTGTATGCTGTTTTCTGTTGATATCTGTCAGATTTACTCTTAAGTCAAATTCTAGTAGAAGGCTAAAACTAAAAGTGTAAAAGCATAAAAGACTGTCAAATGGATATACCAGGTCAGCCTTTGATTTTACACGGCAAAATTATGCCGCAAATCCCATTTCTAAGTGGTACACCATCATAATTACACATATTTCAAATAGATTTAGAGATTTTGAGTTTGGATGTTCCGACTTTAATCGATAATCGTTCATTAAAAGTCTTCCAATAGTTGATTATGATTTCCACTTCCGATTCCCAACATTACTGTCCACCCAAAGTCTAATACAAATGTGCTAGGGCGTAAGACTTGGACTTGAACCTTTACACGAATAAATCCATGTAAACAGGGATTTAAATAACATCCTCCTGACGATGTAGCCCTGTACGTATACAGGGATTAGGGTGGGTTGATTTCCCACAATATAAAAAACAAAACAAATAATATACAATTTTTTCACTGAGATTGTATTCTGTCTTTTCGTATTGCAGAGTTATCTGCTCTTGTGAGCATGTATTGATTGTAACGTCATTAGTTTGTGTTAGAAAATTACGTCGTTTTCTCAAAAAATTATGACGTTACTCTCACAAACAAATGACGTAACAATCAATACCTGCTATCAAGAGCAGATAACTCTGCAATACGAAAAGACGGAATATATTTTAAATATGAATGAAATATCAAAGCAATGGAAGTTAATACAGGACGTTTTAAAGTTTTATGCATAAATTATATGATTAAGAAATTTTGCTTAACATTTTCTTTAGGTAGGTAAAATAAGTTTGTCTGACGAAGGTGACAGGGTACGTATTGTACGCGTCACCGAAACATCACATGTAAACACTTACTGGTCGTGATACATAATTTTTCTTTTGTCTGATGAAGGTGACAGGGTACGTATCGTATTAGTCAACGAAATGTACCACATAAACGCTTACTGGTTGTGATACATAACTTTTCTACTATAAATAAGAAATAATCTAAAGTAAAATTCTTTATAGAAAGTTGTCCCCTCAAAGTTGATTTTTCAAGGAAAATATCAATGAATGGGTTAACATGGAGACATTATTTCACATTTTTCCTTTTACAGATATCGCAAAGTTTCCGGGGACATGTGTAAAGGTGGCCTGGACCACAGATTCTCGCCTCTCCTGTACTCGTGTCCAATCAGAGGTTTGTACTCATCACTGGTGAACTTGTGTGTACCAATGGAGACTGAAACAAACATTGGTCATACTCAGATCTGATTTTAATATACTTAGGCTATACTCAGATCTGATTTTAATATACTTAGGCTATACTCAGATCTGATGTAGTATATCTGGGCTATACTCAGATCTGATGTAATATACCTGGGTTATACTCAGATCTGATGTAGTATATACCTGGGCTATACTCAGATCTGATGTAGTATACCTGGGCTATACTCATATTTGATGTAATATACCTGAGCTTTTCTCAGATCTGATGTAATATACCTGGGCTATACTCAGATCTGATGTAATATACCTGGGCTATACTCAGATCTTATTGTAGTATACCTGGGCTATACTCAGATCTGATGTAGTATACCTGGGCTATACTCAGATCTGATGTAGTATATACCTGGGTCATACTCAGATCTGATGTAATATACCTGAGCTTTACTCAGATCTGATGTAATATACCTGGGCTATCCTCAGATCTGATGTACTATACCTGGGTCATACTCAGATCTGATAGGTAGTATATACCTGGGCCATACTCAGATCTGACGTAGTATACCTGGGCTTTACTCAGATCTGATCGTAATATACCTGGGTTATACTCAGATCTGATGTAGTATACCTGGGTCATACTCAGATCTGATGTAGTATATACCTGGGTCATACTCAGATCTGATGTAGTATACCTGGGCTTTACTCAGATTTGATGTAGTATACCTGGGCTATACTCAGATCTGATGTAGTATACCTGGGCTATACTCAGATCTGATGTAGTATACCTGGGCTATACTCAGATCTGATGTAATATACCTGGGTCATACTCAGATCTGATGTAGTATACCTGGGTCATACTCAGATCTGATGTAGTATACCTGGGTTATACTCAGATCTGATGTAGTATACCTGGGCTTTACTCAGATCTGATGTAGTATACCTGGGCTATACTGATATTTGATGTAATATACCTGAGCTTTACTCAGATCTGATGTAGTATACCTGGGTCATACTCAGATCTGATCGTAATATACCTGGGTCATACTCAGATCTGATGTAATATACCTGGGCTATACTCAGATCTGATGTAGTATATACCTGGGTCATACTCAGATCTGATGTAATATACCTGGGCTATACTCAGATCTGATAGAACATACCTGGGTCATATTCAGATCTGATGTAGTATATACCTGGGCTATACTCAGATCTGATGTAATATACCTGGGCTATACTCAGATCTGATAGAACATACCTGGGTCATATTCAGATCTGATGTAGTATATACCTGGGCTATACTCAGATCTGATGTAGGATACCTGGGCTATACTCAGATCTGATGTAGTATGCCTGGGCTATACTCAGATCTGATGTAGTATACCTGGGCTTTACTCAGATCTGATGTAGTATACCTGGGTCATACTCAGATCTGATGTAGTATACCTGGGCTATACTCAAATCTGATGTAGTATACCTGGGCTTTACTAAGATCTGATTGTAATATACCTGGGTTATGTTATATACCTGGGCTTTACTCAGATCTGATAGAATTTACCTGGGTCATATTCAGATCTGATGTAGTATATACCTGGGCTATACTCAAAACTGATCGTAATATACCTGGGCTTTACTCAGATCTGATCGTAATATACCTGGGTTATACTCATATTTGATGTAATATACCTGGGCTATACTCAGATCTGATAGAACATACCTGGGTCATATTCAGATCTGATGTAGTATACCTGGGTCATACTCAGATCTGATAGAACATACCTGGGTAATATTCAGATCTGATGTAGTATATACCTGGGCTATACTCAGATCTGATGTAGTATATACCTGGGCTATACTCAGATCTGATGTAGTATATACCTGGGCTATACTCAGGTCTGATGTAGTATACCTGGGTCATACTCAGATCTGATAGAACATATCTGGGTCATATTCAGATCTGATATAGTATATACCTGGGCTATACTCAGATCTGATGTAGTATATACCTGGGCTTTACTCAGATCTGATGTAACATACCTGGGCTATACTCAGATCTGATGTAGTATACCTGGGCTATGATGTAGTATATACCTGGGCTTTACTCAGATCTGATGTAACATACCTGGGCTTTACTCAGATCTGATGTAACATACCTGGGCTATACTCAGATCTGATGTAGTATACCTGGGCTATGATGTAGTATACACCTGGGCTTTACTCAGATCTGATGTAACATACCTGGGCTTTACTCAGATCTGATGTAACATACCTGGGCTATACTCAGATCTGATGTAGTATACCTGGGCTATGATGTAGTATACCTGGGCTATACTCGGTTCTTACTTTATTACAGAGATCCCCGAGTTCATTCTGTTCTCAACCCGCTTCACCATCCACCGGTTCATCCTAGGAGAAAATCGTGACGAACTCCTGGTACAACGCGACTATTCCCAGCAACACAGCCTGTTTGCTGTTGACTTTGATTACCGGGCCAACTGTCTGTTCTGGGCCGACGGCTCCGAGAACATGATTAAGGTAAATAGCTAACATCAACGTTTCACTTTCTACACGATGTACATATTAACTCATTCACCCCTGAAGACACATTTGAACCCTTCCAATATAAAGGTTGGAATAGTTCATTATGAAATGTCAGGGGTGAATGAGTTAAAGGTGGTTCAACGTTTCTAGACCCACTTTTCCCCTTTGTCATGCTATGTAATTTTCAAGTTTGACACCTTTTTACTGAATCTTTGGGAAAATTAGTATGCCTTTTCATATCGGGTAAACTATTTATGGACTTGGATGGAAGTTCAATGTAACCACGGTTACCGGTTTTCATTATTTAAGAAACTTGATTCAGCGGTAGGAATGTACTGAGGTGTTTGTTATTTCAGAGGATGTGTCTGAATGGTTCGAGTGCTGTGGAGAATATCGTCACACGAGGCCTGGCCTCTGTTGAATCGCTGGTTTTTGACTGGGCGGGGAACAACATTTTCTGGATTGATTCACATAACCGTACACTTGAGGTCGCCAGGAGCAATGGTGACTTCAGACGCACCCTCCTAAACAGTACACATCTGGACCAACCAAGAGCCTTGGCACTCGACCCTCACCACGGGTAAGGAAATAATTATGTCTCCCCTTCGATTGAAGGGAGACATTGTATTAGTACTGGTTCTTCTTATTCTGGGTCTTCTAATCGCAACTTGGCCGGGCCATACATTTTAAACCGTTAAAGATATCTTGATTAAACTTCAGGTAAGCATGCATCACCCCCAGAAGGTGTCCAGTGCCACACTATATACTATATACAGAGTTATTGCCTTTTGTTTATTTTTTATACCAAAGTTTGTCCGGAGCATAAGTTCCATGTCATTTCACCTACGTTGACCAAACTTACCATATTTATGCGACTTTGGAGGTAGAAATCTCTCGCACTGAAATCGGGTCTCATGCCCCACTATATGTAGAATTATGTCCCTTTGTTAATTTTTAAAACCAAGGTTTGTCCACAGCAAAACTTCCATGTTATTTCACCTACATTGACCAAACTATGGAAGTTATTTCACCTACATTGACCAAACTTGCTATAGTTTTAATGTATCTTGGGAAGTAGGAGTGTCGCATTCTAAATTTGGGTCTTGTGCCCCACATTATAAAGATATATGGCCCTTTGTTATTTTTTAATACCGAAGTTTGTCTATTGGCTAATAAGGGGAGACATGTTTTTGTTCACAAAAAGAAGTTTCTAATTATCTTCCCTTGTACGTTGAGTCCATTACCATGTGTACATACAAAATTGTCTCCCCTTTGTTATTTTGTACAAGTCACAGACCCTTGTGTTAAATCATTAACCATGGCTACATAGAGAATTATCTCTCCATGTTCATGTATGTAAGTTTAGTCTTTTAGCTCACCTGGCCAGAAGGGCCATGTGAGCTTATGCCGGGGCGCAGCGGCCGGCCGGCCGGCCGGCGTCAACTTTGCCATTTAAAAGACTTCTTCTCAATAACCAACAAGCCAAATGTCATGATATTTGGCTAGTTGGTTGCTGGGATGGAGCCCAACAAAGTTTGCGAAAAGAAATGACCTTTGCCCATATTCAAGGTCACAGGGATCAATTGTCTTGAAAACCTTTAAACAACTTCTTCTGTATAACCGAGAGGCCTATGGTGATGATATTTGGCCAGTAACATGCTAGGATGAAGCGCTACCAAGTTTGTTAAAATGAATGACCTTTGCTTATATTCAAGGTCACAGGGGTCATATATGTTTAAAACCTTTAAACAACTTCTTCCCAATAACCAATAGGTCCAGGATAATGATATTTGGCCAGTAGCATGCTGGGATGAAGGGCTACTAAGTTTGTTCCATTGAATGACCTTCGCTTGAATTCAAGGTCACAAGGTTGAACATATTTTTTCTCTAAAGCTAAAGGCCTAGAGTGATGATATTTGGCCAGTAACATGCTTGGATGAAGGACTATGTTCAAATGAATGACTTTCACACATTTTTAAGGTCACAGTGGTCAGTATATGTTAAAATCTTTAAATGTCACAGGCGTCATATGTTTAAATCTTTTGATAGGTTCTTATGAATCAAACACTGATATTCTGCCTGTAGCTGTATTTTAGTCCACTTTTAAGATTACAAGTGTGAGATTTATACCAGGTGAGCGATCCAGGCCCACTGGGCCTATTGTTTATGTATGTCCTTATTCTGATATTGAGTCAAGTTTTTCCCCTTGTTTGCTATTGGCTTGAAGAGTTACCTGTCCTTGGTTTCTGTAATTCTGTGAACTGTCCTGCCCTTGGTTACTGTTAGAAGATTTACCTGTCCTTGGTTTCTGTAATTCTGTGAACTTTCTTGCCATTGATTGCTGTTAGTAGAGTTATCTACCTTGATAAGTTAAGGCCTTCAGAGTTATCTGCCCTTGGTATTGTAGATGGATGTACTGGACGGACTGGTCGGATAGCCATCCACGGATCAGTAAGGCCTGGATGGATGGTAATACGAGCTCAATCAAAATTATCGTCAATGGTTCCTCCATCGTCCACTGGCCTAACGGTATCACCATTGACCACCGCATGGAGCGAATGTACTGGACTGACGCTTTCCTCGATCACATAATGTCTGCCGACTTGGAGGGTAATAACGAACGAGTGATTGTATCAGGAAGCGCAGTCCCCCATCCCTACGCCATTGGCATGTACAAGGTAATTTATATACACTAGATTATTACCCAGTCCCCCATCCCTACGCCATTGACATATACAAGGTAATTTATATACACTAGATAATTACCCAGTCCCTCATCCCTACGCCATTGACATATACAAGGTAATTCATATACACTAGATTATTACCCAGTCCCTCATCCCTACGCCATTGATATATACAAGGTAATTTATATACACTAGATTATTACCCAGTCCCTCATCCCTACGCCATTGACATGTACAAGGTAATTCATATACACTAGATTATTACCCACTCCCCATCCCTACGCCATTGGCATGTACAATTGAATTTATATACACTAGATTATTACCCAGTCCCCCATCCCTACGCCATTGGCATGTACAAGGTAATTCATATACACTAGATTATTACCCAGTCCCCCATCCCTATGCCATTGACATGTACAAGGTAATTTATATGCACCGGATTATTACCAAACCTTATATTACAACAGATAGCAACCAAGGTTTATGATGGACTTTTGATGGAGTGTTCATGAGCTTAACAGTATTAAGGTCAAAGCTATGCTTGTATTATTAGAGTAATCAAATCCGTCTACCTGTCCATCTGTTCATCTGTCTGTCAGCTGTCCATCCACACTTTCGTTTCCGAAGATTATCTTGGTGACCGAAAGATCTTCTGAAATTTGACATGGTGATAAGGGTTTACAAATTTTTGAAGGTCGAGTTCAAGATCACTGTTAATAAAAATAGACCTTGGTGGGTACTGTCCATTTTAATTTGACTGGTGATATACTGTGATAGGTCGATGTGCAGTAGGGGGTTTAACAGTTTTCTAGGTCAAGGTCAAGGGGTAAGGTTAATAAAAATAGAACTGGGGGGGGGGGGGGGGGGGGGGCGGTCAGGCACATAACAGGCCCATAACAGGCCCATAGCTGGCCCCTATCTGACCTGACAGTGAAGTAGTTGTGTGAAAGTCTTTATTTGTTTCAAGCTTTTTAATACATTTCCATATCTATCTATCCTATCCTCTATAATAAGCAGGGGGTCAAAACATAATCTCTTATTCAAAGTAGAGTGATAGGCTTATAACAGGACAATGATATAGCATTTGTTTGCTGAACTGCAATGGATTTGGCTGGGCTTAGTATCAACCATGGGCTTATTGCTGGATTAAGCTTTATTATACATTAAACCTCAGAGTACACATCCACAGCAGACTTCTCGGTGTTATATGTTATCTACTAACCCTGATTAAAGCTGACAGTGCAAGTTAAAAAGCTTTCAATCAAAATTAAAAAAAGCAATAGAAAGTTTTATTATTTGTTCTGGTTTTGAGATGTTCCCCAGTGACTCTGCCTTCCAGCTGTCATTTCAATGGAAGCTCCAACATTTTTAAAAGTTTGTTTTGCTTTGCTCCTTTAGTTATGGTGACAGCACGCAAAGATTGTCACTGGGGAACATCTCAAAACCAGAAGAAGAAAAACATTTTATCTTGATTTTGAGCTTTTTCAACTTGCACTGTCAGCTTTAAACTCATAAATATGTATAACTTCAATTTTACTTAATTGATGCATGATTTGTTTTATGATGCTGAATACCACTCAGAGATGATCTTGTTGTTTTCAACAGAACGTGCTGTACTGGACGGACTGGTCAAGGAAGTCGATCATGAGTGTGGACAGCACTGACAACACCTACATCCGGGCCGTACTGACCAATGTGTCCGACATCATGGACTTGAAAGTCCTATCACACCAAACACAACAATGTACGTCCTTACTTGGGTTTATTAAAAAACATCCCCTTCAGATTTAAGATTTTAAAGCCCCATCATTTTATTCAGGGTGACATTATAGTATTAACTATGTCCCCGCTTGTCCCGATTCATTGTCTCTGGAACGTTGTTTTGTGAATGGAGTCTTTAGGATGGACCTACTTCAATAGGTCTGCAGCTACTGTTATCCTAGATTTACTGGCAGTCATCTGCCGAATCCTGTCCAATGATTGGCTGAATTTGGCGACTTTCACCACTGCGACCCCTATGATTTAGTTCCAGATTGCCACCAGATTTCAAAATGATATCCTCTGTGTATAAAATCAATATAAAATCAAGAAATCTTTGACAGAATTCTGTTAACACGGTAAGGTTAGATACACATTTCTTACATTAACAAGAATGGAATTTGCGTCAAAATCTATCTAAGTTAAGATTACTATCCAAGTCGATTGTACAAAGTGAGTTTATCAGTTACGGTAAAACTCTGGTCGGTCCAAACCGATAACGCAAACACAAGGTTGATTTTATCAAACTTTCTAGAAAGCTATGCCTGAGTCCATATCTGAGGTCACCGTTACTAATAATAGAATGGCAACAATGACATTTCTTTGTGATCTACAATGTATGTATTCCCCTAAACACTGCATAGTTTGAAAAAAATAGTTCCTGAAAGAAAAAAACATTCATTTCATAAATGTATCACAAATAAAGCAATACTGTATGAAAGGAAACTCTTGCCCAGTCAACTATTCGTCCTTTGCCGATAAAATCCATGTTTATAATATTTCGCCCTTCACATGCAATTACTGTATATTGTATAGTGTGTACTAATATTAACTGTCATGATAAAGTTCTCCTTATTGGGGAGGGCAAAAAAGGCCAAAAAAATAAACTGTGGCAAAAATGTCTGGGTATACAGTAAAAAAAAAAATATTTTGCATAGTCGTATTATATATAAGTGACTGACAAACAATTGTTAATTTTCAAATTTATGTTTGCTCTTTGGTTCGTCATAAATATGTGTTTTTTTTTACAGCAAACAGTTCTGATTTCCTCTCTTAAAATGTTTTGTAGTGGAGACAGCGTGTAGTGGAGGAAATGGCCAGTGCTCGCAGCTGTGTCTACCGAAACCACCGACCTCCATAATGAACGAAAAGAATCGCACCTGTCGCTGTGGTAATGCTGTTCGGCACTCAATCATCAATGATGGAAATGAACGATGTCTCTGTGCTGTAGGAGAGAAGGTGGACGTTCATACTGGGGCCTGCCAGTCAGCCAATACCTCGGGTCAGTATGGTCAATGAGAATTAGTACTTAATATGTAAATTGCTTTTAAGGGCTCTGCATTAATGATGCAGGTGCTGTACAGTAATCACAGGGGATGCAACGATAAGATAAATATGGCGGTACGATGCTTACAATATGTATTATGATACAAATATCAGGTGGTCGGATGGTGCAGTGGATAGCACACTCGCCTTTTACCAAGGTGGCCGGGGTTCAATACCCTGATCGGAGGTCAAAAGGCACAGGGTCACCTGCCCGACCAAGTGGGTTTTCTCCAGATTCTTAGGTTTCCTCCCACACTTAAAATGGTCACTTCAAAATGATTAAGTACAGGGGTTTATGGAGTTTTGTCATAGAACTACCGAAATACATTTTTGTATAATTTCTAGTACTTGAGGGTATATGACTGCACAGTGGACCATAACTTTATAAAAATATAAGTACCCTATTTTAGAGATTGATCAAATTTATTGATAATTTCAGTACTGTTAGTGTATCACAACGCAGTCGAACAAAACGGTACACATGGAAGTATCCCAATTTGATACCATACAATATATTGTTGCAACCCAAGTAATCACAGAGTCTATCTGTCCATCGATATTTTGTGTCTGGAAATTATATCAGAATGAAAAAGACTGGGAAATCCTTTAACAATATGACACGGTAATACATGGATAAGTAGATGTGCAATAGGGGTTTTAAGGTCAAGTTCACTGTTACTAAAAATAGACTCTGGGGTTATAGTCATTCACATGACGAGGCTCTAGCTGTCCTGTCATTGCTTTAGTGTGAATATAAATTTTCACATTTTCTTGCCAATAGACTCTTGAATGAAATTGCGAGGCTTTGAATTAAACAGTAATTGTTTTGTTTTGACAGGAGATGGATCGTGTGGAGCCCAGGATTTTGCCTGTAGCAATGGTAAATGTATTTCTTCCGCGTGGATTTGTGACCGTGACAACGACTGCGGAGACTTCAGTGACGAGCTGGACTGCAGTGAGTATTTAGTACAGTACCGTAATTATCCAACAATAAGCCCTCATGCTTGGTAAAAAGCTCACCAATATCTATTGCAGTTAGGAAGAAATGACAACAAAAGCTTTTTCATTGTCTTGTATTAAATCCATCCCCCTAATATCAGTCAGGGAATATGTGTTTTTTTTTGTCTAAATACTATTATGGAGGTCAAACACAATTTGACCCATGCTTGAAGTCAAATTTGTAACTGCTAGCACAGCAGTGTTCAAATGCTCTTGATCTAATAAAGTGGTCAAACACTTCAGACCTCAGGGTTGAACGGGCAGTCGAATATTCCAGGCCTCTCTGTTGACCTGAATGGTCAAATACTCCAGACCTCAAGGCTTTGATATCGGAGCTATAAAACATTCAGTAATTTATGTCATACTGGGGCTGGTATTCTGTAAACATAATATGACAATTAACTTCTTTAATTAACACAGCTATGCGCGGATGTCCTACAGGCAGTTTCAAATGCAAGTCGTCTAACCGTTGTATTCCGGAGCGTTGGCATTGTGACTTTGATAAGGATTGTACCGACGGCAGTGATGAACTACACTGTAGTAAGTAGTGACACACAAGATACTGCAAATATTTACTAGTCTCATTGCAGTGCTTTTCATGCTTAAGATATATTGCAATTTTTGTAATTATTGCGCCAATTGAAATTCCTGTATATTGTTTTATATTTCTTATCTTATGGGTGGACTAATTCATCAAAACACTTATCTGGTAAAATTTTATTACCCAATGGTATATGCCTAAATTTAAGTATGTTCATTTAAAGTATTTGAAATGCAAAAGAACCCAAAATTGTCAATAAATTGTGAGAGATCACAGAAGCTTTCATATTCCCCAATGCAAGAGGCAAGTTAGTAAAAGGATGTGAACATTTGTAAAATGAAAGATTTTGCCGAAGTTTTGATTTTTTCTCCCTTCCTCCCACTTCATTTTAGAAAGCGCCCATGATCTCAATCCTCTGTGCTCTTGTTCTCTATATGATGACAAGTGTTAACTTATTACAGATCACACCACATGTGCGTCAACAATGCACACCTGCGATTCAGGACGCTGCATCCCTAAAAACTGGACCTGTGACTTTGACAACGACTGTCACGACGGCGTCAATGGGTCTGTGTCGTCGGACGAACGCAACTGTTCATATAATGGTGAGACGTCGACACATTGCGATAAAATTTTGTATATATTTGTGTTTGCCTGTGTAGAATAAGACTTTGTTGGGTGTCATACAAACAAAAACCTATTTGTGATGGTCCTATGCTTAATTGACATGCTTTTCATATCTCAAGATGGAATAAGCAGGATTTTACTCAAGTCATTCCACCCCTGAAATTTCACAATGAACTATTCCAACCTTTGAATTGGAGGAGTTCAAATGTGTCTTCAGGGATGAATGAGTCAAGTCTCATAGCCTGACTATCGAAGTTCAAAAATATAACAAAATTGCTCTCCAACTTGTTTGATGAACATAATCACAGATAAAGTCTCGCCGAGACAAAGTAGCGGAAACGAGACTAAGGTGTTCCGGCTTTTCCGGCGATGGGAGTGTCAACATTAAGGTTTTGCATTGAAGTTAGTTTCACTGAAAGTATAAGTGCTAGACCAACCAAACGTGGACCATAGATGCATCTTAGGTAGTACATCTCAACCCATGCATCAAATATTGGATGCGGCCTACCTTTCATGGTCTATTGACTTAGTCAGCATCTCCATCATAATTAGAGTTTAAGTTGGTTTCTCTGAAACTTTGAGTAAGTGCTAGACCAACCAAACTTGGACCATAGATGCATCTTAGGTAGTACATCTCAACCCATGCATCAAATACTGGATGTATACATTTAATTTATTTTTACTGATATGTGCATTGATGGTCAAAGCGGGGCACAGGCGAGACATATCAATCCTTATGACCTGTAATTTAGATAATTAATGAACGACCAGTAGAAATCTACTTGTCTGTCCATGCTGATATAAGCTGGTTTACCATAATTACCGTATTTACTATATTTACCCTAATAAACTTCAGTTTATGTATCTCACCTAGTAAGCAGACTTGTACTGTTATTTGATCTGAGTATTCAATCCCTTTGCAGTAATTTACCAACTTACTAGAAAAATGTGTGTGTTATTGTTTATTTCAGTTCAATGTCACTATATGGTATGGCATCCGTTGCCATCAACTTTTCCTTAAACAACTCCTTCTAAATCTTTGAACAGGTTCTTTTGAATGGTCATGTTATTTAAGTTGAAGCTTAATGTAGTTCAGATAACTCATTCACCCCTGAAGACACATTTGAACTCTTCCAAATTAAAGGTTGGAATAGATCATTAGAAAATTTCAGGGGTGAATGAGTTGATATATTTAACTTTCACCTACTTTTTAGTGTAAGATTACTACCAGGTGAGACATGTTTATATTAACCTGTAAGTTTATGCCTAATACTGTATTAATGTTGTTCTCTAGTTATATATGTCGTTTAGTTCCCTCCCCAGATATATGTCTCTATACATGAGTGTTTATTTTCCCACCCCAGATATTTTTCTCTATACGCAAGTATTTATTTCCCTCCCCAGATTTACGTCTCTATACACGAGTGTTTATTTCCCTCCCGAGATATATGTCTCTATATACGAGTGTTTATTTCCCTCCCGAGATATACGTCTCTATACACGAGTGTTTATTTCCCTCCCCAGATATACGTCTCTATACACGAGTGTTTATTTTCCTCCCCAGATATATGTCTCTATACACGAGTGTTTATTTCCCTCCCCAGATATGTCTCTATATACGAGTGTTTATTTCCCTCCCGAGATATATGTCTCTATACACGAGTGTTTATTTCCCTCCCCAGATTTACGTCTCTTTACACGAGTGTTTATTTCCCTCCCCAGATATATGTCTCTATACACGAGTGTTTATTTCCCTCCCCAGATATGTCTCTATATACGAGTGTTTATTTCCCTCCCGAGATATATGTCTCTATACACGAGCGTTTATTTCCCTCCCGAGATATATGTCTCTATACACGAGTGTTTATTTCCCTCCCGAGATATATGTCTCTATATATGAGTGTTTATTTCCCTCCCGCGATATATGTCTCTATATACAAGTATTTATTTCCCTCCCCAGATTTACGTCTCTTTACACGAGTGTTTATTTCCCTCCCCAGATATTTGTCTCGCTAATGAATTCCACTGTGAGGCCCACCAGCCTAAGTGTGTCCCTATTGGATTGAGATGTGATGGCAGAAATGATTGTGGTGATCGGTCTGACGAGAAGAACTGTACAACCTGCCCTAGTGGGGAATACCGCTGTAAAACAGGGGCCTGTATCTTCAACAACTGGAAGTGTGATGGCGACGCCGACTGTTCAGATGGAAGTGACGAGACTGAGGATATCTGTGGAAGTGAGTAATCAAAGTATTGCCGTGGCAACACAAGATCATCACATTGTCTCCTTGGCAACAATTGTCATACAATCTCCTTAGTAATATATCATTATCACACCATCTTCATGGTAACACAGGGTCACTACATCATTTCCATAGAGTCACAGGGTCACAACATCATCACCATAGTAACACAAGGTCACAACATCATCACCTAGATAACACAGGGTCACCCCATCATCTCCATAGTAATACAGGGTCACCACAACATCTCCATAGTAATACAGGGTCACCACATCATCTCCATAGTAATACAGGGTCACCATACCATCTCCATAGTAATACAGGGTCACCCCACCGTCATACAATCTCCTTAGTAATATTTCATTATCACACCATCTCCATGGAAACACAAGATCATCACCTTTTCTCATTTGCAACAATTGTCATACAATCTCCTTAGTAATATATCATTATCACACCATCTTCATGGTAACACAGGGTCACTACATCATTTCCATAGAGTCACAGGGTCACAACATCATCACCATAGTAACACAAGGTCACAACATCATCACCTAGATAACACAGGGTCACCCCATCATCTCCATAGTAATACAGGGTCACCACATCATCTCCATAGTAACACAAGGTCACCATACCATCTCCATAGTAACACAGGGTCACCACATCATCTCCATAGTAACACAGGGTCACCACATCATCTCCATAGTAACACAGGGTCACCCCTTCATCTCCATAGTAACACAGGGTCACCACATCATCTCCATAGTAACACAAGGTCACCACATCATCTCCATAGTAACACAGGGTCACTCCTCCATATCTATAGTAACATAGGGTCACCACATCATCTCCATAGTAATACAGGGTCACCGAACCATCTCCATAGTAATACAGGGTCACCACAACATCTCCATAGTAATACAGGATCACCACATCATCTCCATAGTAATACAGGGTCACCACATCATCTCCATAGTAATTCAGGGTCACCATACCATCTCCATAGTAATACAGGTTCACCACAGCATCTCCATAGTAATACAGGGTCACCCCTTCATCACCATAGTAATACAGGGTCACCACATCATCTCCATAGTAATTCAGGGTCACCATACCATCTCCATAGTAATACAGGTTCACCACATCATCTCCATAGTAATACAGGGTCACCACACCATCTCCATAGTAATACAGGGTCACCACATCATCTCCATAGTAACACAAGGTCACCACAACATCTCCATAGTAATACAGGGTCACCCCATCATCTCCATAGTAATACAGGGTCACCACATCATCTCCATAGTAATTCAGGGTCACCATACCATCTCCATAGTAATACAGGTTCACCACATCATCTCCATAGTAATACAGGGTCACCCCTTCATCTCCATAGTAATACAGGGTCACCACACCATCTCCATAGTAACTCAGGGTCACCCCACCATATCTATAGTAACATAGGGTCGCCGCATCATCTCCATAGTAACACATGGTCACCATACCATCTTAATAGTAATTCAGGGTCACCTCAACATCTCCATAGTAATACATGGTCGCCATACCATCTCCATAGCAACACAGGGTCACCACACCATCTCAATAGTAATACAGGGTCATCACATCATCTCCATAGTAACACAGGGTACCTTTTCTCATTTGCAACAATTGTCATACAATCTCCTTAGTAATATTTCATTATCACACCATCTTCATGGTAACACAGGGTCACTACATCATTTCCATAGAGTCACAGGGTCACAACATCATCTCCATAGTAATACAAAGTCACCACAACATCTCCATAGCAATACAGGGTCACCATACAATCTTCATAGTAATTCAGGGTCACCTCAACATCTCCATAGTAATACATGGTCGCCATACCATCTCCATAGCAACACAACGTCACCACACTTAGTAATATTTCATTATCACACCATCTTCATGGTAACACAGGGGCACTACATCATTTCCATAGAGTCACAGGGTCACAACATCATCACCATAGTAACACAAGGTCCCCACACCATCTCCATAGTAACACAGGGTCACTGCTCCATATCTATAGTAGCATAGGGTCACCACATCATCTGCATAGTAATACAGGGTCGCCACATCATCTCCATAGCAACACAACGTCACCACACTTAGTAATATTTCATTATCACACCATCTTCATGGTAACACAGGGTCACTACATCATTTCCATAGAGTCACAGGGTCACAACATCATCTCCATAGTAATACAGGGTCACCATACCATCTCCATAGTAATTCAGGGTCACCCCACCATCTCCATAGTAATACAGGGTCACCCCACCATCTCCATAGTAACACAAGGTCACCCCACCATTTCCATAGTAACCCAGGGTCACCCCACCATCTCCATAGTAACACAGGGTCACCACACAATCTCCCTTGTATATATTTATTTATTATACCCACGAAGTATCATGTTGACAGCTAGACCCCACCCCCTTGTTTATATTGACAGGCATACATGTAATAACCTCCCCTATATCCTGTTGACAGCTAGACTGCCCCTTCTTGTTTATATTGACAGTTATACATGTACTTACCTCCCTTATATCGTGTTGACAGCTAGACCACACACCCTTGTTTATATTGACAGTCATACATGTTATAACCTCTCTTATATCGTGTTGACAGCTAGACCACACACCCTTGTTTATATTGACAGTCATACATGTTATAACCTCTCTTATATCGTGTTGACAGCTAGACCACACACCCTTGTTTATATTGACTGACATACATGTTATAACCTCCCTTATATCGTGTTGACAGCTAGACCACACACCCTTTTTATATTGACAGTTATACATGTACTTACCTCCCTTGTATCGTGTTGACAACTAACATACGTCCCTTGTTTATATTGATGTCTAGATTTATATCCCCTGTCTAGTGATGACAGCTAGATTTACCTCCTTTGATTATATTGATGTCTAGACGTACCTCTCTTGTCTAGTGTTGACAGCTAGACTTGCCTCCCTTGTTTATATTGATGTCTAGATTTATATCCCCTGTCTTGTGATGACAGCTAGATTTATCTCCCTTGATTATATTGATGTCTAGACGTACCTCTCTTGTCTAGTGTTGACGGCTAGACTTGCCTCCCTTGTTTATATTCCTGTCTAGATTTATCTCCCCTGTCTTGTGATGACAGCTAGATTTATCTCCCTTGATTATATTGATGTCTAGACTTATTGATGTCTATATCCCTTGTATTGTATTTACAGCTAGTCTTACCTCCCTTGTCTAGTGTTGACAGCTAGATTTATATCCCTTGTTTATATTCATGTCTAGATTTATCTCCCCTGTCTTGTGATGACAGCTAGATTTATATCCCTTGATTATATTGATGTCTAGACTTATTGATGTCTATATCCCTTGTATTGTATTTACAGCCAGACTTACCTCCCCTGGCTTGTGATGACAGCTAGATTTATCTCCCTTGATTATATTGATGTCTAGACTTATTGATGTCTATATCCCTTGTATTGTATTTACAGCTAGACTTACCTCCCTTGTCTAGTGTTGACAGCTAGATTTATCTCCCTTGTAAGGGCCCGGTATCGGAGATATGGGTGCCTTATAGTAATCTGTCTAATTTTGTTCCTGGCTGATAACTTTGGTATCTATGGACCGATGTACGAAACTTGGTCAAGATATTCAGTTCACAAAAATACACATTGATGTAAAAAGTCAAGGTCAAAGGTCAAGGTCATTAGGTTCAAAGGTCAAGGTCAAATTTTACATCTTTTCACTGATGAACATTTTGTTATTACATTATGAAGCAAAGTTGATTAGAATTAAACAAGGAGTCAACTGACCTAAGGTCAAGGTCATCGGGTCAGGGGTCAATGTCAAATTTTGTAGCTTTTCACTGGTGAACATTTTGCTATGACATTATGAAGCAAAGTTGTTCGGAATTATACAAAGAGACACACTGAGGTAAAAAGTCAAGGTCAAGGTCATTAGATTCAAAGGTCAAGGTCAAATTTTGTACCTTTTCCCTGATGAACATTTTGTTATGACATTATGAAGCAATGTTGTTAAAACTTAACACAGTCAACTGACCTTAGGTCCAGGTCGCTGGGCCCAAAGGGTCAAGGTCAAGTTTTGTATTTTTCACTGATGAACATTTTGTTATGATATTAAGAGGTAAAGTTGGTCTGAATTAAAGAATAAGTCAACTGACCAAAGATCAGGGTCACTGGGTTAATGGTCAAGGTCATTTGGGTCCAAAGGTCAAAGACAAAGTGGATCTCTGACTTTGACCCTGGCTCTTGATGGAGGAGATATATAAGGTGAAAGAAAACAAATCAAAGCTAACAAATGAGTGTTGTACTGGTATTTACATTTCTGTTAGCCCAGCAAATATGGAGGTGGAAGGAAACATGACTCACATCATAGTACATGTTAAATGTATATTTTGCTTCCTTGCGAATATTATTGAAGTCCAAACGTCAAGCTCAGCTATATGGGCAGATCGCTTCTTGGTGATTATAGGGGATATATTGCCACAAGACGGGGCCCTTACTGACCTTTCAATGTTCTAGTTTATATTGATGTCTAGACTTACCTCCCTTGTCTAGTGTTGGCAGCTAGACTTGCCTCCCTTGATTATATTGATGTCTAGACTTACCTCCCTTGTCTAGTGTTTACAGCTAGATTTACCTCCCTTGTATTGTATTTACAGCTACACATGTGATGAACACCACCACCACCCCAACGCCTCCTCCAACGTCATGCCACTTCTGGCAGTTCACCTGCCACAACAGAAAGTGTGTTTGGTGGAGTGAGCGCTGTGACCAGGTCGATGATTGTGGCGACAATAGTGACGAGTTCAACTGTGGAGGTCTGTACATATAGAAAACATGATCACGGAAACAATTGAGGCTGGATTGCGATTAAGAGATATGTAGACATTTAGGAAGATTAATATTATGTAATGAATAAGAATGTACAAATTGGGATGCTTAATTATGCACTCATATCTTCGTAACAACCCTTTCCCCATCTAACCACTCAACCCATGCATCAAATGCTGGATTAAGTTTTTGTGTTTAAGTTAGTTTCTCTGAAAGTATAAGTGCTTCACCAACCAAACTTGGACCATAGATGCATCTTAGGTAGTACATCTCAACCCATGCATCAAATGCTGGATGCGGCCTACCTTTCCTGGTCCATTGACTTTGTCAGCATCTCCATCAACATTAAGATTTGGATTTAAGTTAGTTTCCCTGATATGTGCATTGATGGTCAAAGCGGGGCATAGGCGAGACATATCAATCCGAATGGCTTGTTACAATTTATTCTTAAAAAAAACTACAATTAGGGAGACATTCAAAATTAAATATGTCCGTATTGTTTGATTAGACCTGTTTGAAACCATCATCTGCCATCATGTACAATTTTTAATAGAAATCAGTAGATATCACATTTACTTTTAGAAAGCATATTAATTTTACAAATGTCTGCATAATTTCTAATCTAATCCGATAGCTCAGTAGTGAGAGTACTGTAAACCAGGACATTTTTGCTGCAGTTTATTTTTTTCCCTATTTTTGCCCTCTGTGTAATGAGGGCGAATTTATCATAACAGATAAATTTCCCTAAACAACATTACACACATAGTATTTAAAAATGTGACGGATGAAATAACCCCATAATTGAATTTTTCGGCAAATTAAACAAGTTTAACTTTATGAACGTTTTCCGTTATACAGTAACGACAATGCTATTTATATACAACTAACACACGAGAAACAGTTAACCTGTTTATTACTCTTGTAGCAACATATTTACATACAGTAATACATTTGGCGCATCAGGGGCTACTCACTCCAACAATATTACTACCATATATTTAATACCTAGACTCTGGGGGTATTGAGGGAAGCAGCTAGACTCTGAAAATGTCTTTAGAGAAGCACCTACCCAGCCCAGAGAAGTGAGCAGCTAGACTCTGAAAATGTCTCCAGAGAAGCAACTAGACTCTGGTTGTAGACTCTGAAAATGTCTTCAGAGAAGCACCTACCCAGCCCAGAGAAGTGAGCAGCTAGACTCTGAAAATGTCTCCAGAGAAGCGACTAGACTCTGGTTGTAGACTCTGAAAATGTCTTCAGAGAAGCACCTACACAGCCCAGAGAAGTGAGCAGCTAGACTCTGAAAATGTCTCCAGAGAAGCGACTAGACTCTGGTTGTGAACACCCCTAGAGAAGCCATGATGAGAGCAGCTAGACTCCTGTGATACCAGAGAAGCCGCATCCCCACACTAATATAAAACTATGTTGAGATTGGGGGTGAATTCCCCTAGAATTTAAAGCCAAAATCGAATGAAAGTGTAATATGAGTATTACACAGGAGTGAGAGCCCCCAATACGAAGGAGGTTTCTGGGTATTAAAATAGTGCATATTATAAACAATACATTTCAAAGCATTGTGATGCCAAGCCCTCAAATCTAGGATTAAACATGACCTAAGAGGACATATGGCTCTGGGCAGCGCGAATCGTAGATGGGTCGATGCGGATGTATCGCATAAAACAATTGGAAGACCATCTGCCCAAGGTTTGAATGACATGGTCTTCCACGCCTGCTGCAGCTGCAGATGTTGCAGAACCTATGTGAAAGGAGTGGCCACTAAATGTTTGGGAACTAAGACCACAGGCTGTTAAAGTTTTGTTGAGAAAATTTAAAAAAGGTTGACGCATTAATGGCTTAGTGAAATCCAATGTTTCAACAAATAAAGGGGAACTAGGTAATGCACCCTGAGAACCCCTACGTTGTATATAAGTATGCATTGTACTGACTGGAGACAAAGCCCTGTTTTCAAACACTTTGACTGTGACACCTTTTCTGAAAGGGTCTGTCTTAGAAGCTCTCAAATACAAATTAAAACAAGACTTGTCAGGGTATAAAAATATATCACAAATACGGATATAATTGTTGTCGGACCGAGCTTGGCAAGTAAACTCACCACAACGCAAGAAACCATAAAAAGCTGTCTTGAATGCACATGTTAGCATAAGGCTAGTAAACGAATCAAATAGTCCTGTTTCACATGAAAGAACCTCACACAATTTAAACAGCACATTGTATGTAATAGGAAGACGTTTCACGGTATTGTTCACTTGAGATTTCTTGATTGCACGCAAAATGTAAGACAGTCTGAGCGTATTAGCGATTGGATCTCCTAAATTGTGGCGTATGTAGTAGAACCGAACACCTGATAAGTACAGTTTAATAGTATCATGACGAAGACTGAGGGCTTTCTGACAGTGCATACTGAATAAAATGAGCAGGTCTTCATCAACGGGTGGAAGAGAGTTCACTGGGAAAGTAATACCCATCATCAGCACAAATGTCAGAAAACAGTTCAAAGCCGACTTATAGGTGGCTAAAGTTCTAGCACTAAGGGCTGCATTCCATAAACAGTCCACCTCGTGATTCAACTCATGAGTAGGGAAGACATAGCCAGATATGGCACCGGAAGGACTTCTGCGTTTGGAGCCAACATCCGGAAACGCCCCATCTGGTAACGAGAAAGAGAATCAGCGATGTTATTGTCAACTCCTGGTATGTGTTTAGCATGAATAACAAAGTTATTGATGGCTGAATGATATGTAAGTCTTCGCATGAGTCTCATAATGCTTTTCACCTTTGATCTCCCTTTGGTAATATTTCAACAACGGCTAAGTTATCACAATGAAACAATATTCTTTTCTTGTGCCACTGGAAGCCGGAGTCATTGGAACTGTATTAGAACTTCCCGCACTGTAGGAATCTGCACTCATAGTCGTAGCGATTTGCCGTTCACTCCCGGCCGCTGCTGCTACCCGTACCCCGGTGTTTGTAGCGGTCTCTTCACGCCTGCTACCTGACAAAGGTGACTGAGGACGTTGATCCAAGCAACTTTCGAGATGAAGATAGCACTCCTGGAGAGTTGCCACGCTCTCTGTCAGCGAACTAACCATGTCTATGAGGTTCTGACTATTGTCAGAGTTGTTGTTGCCGCCATCTTGTTCCGACTGAACCGTTGCATTGTGGGATCGCGCACCTCTGACGTTGGGCCTAGCTTGCGCATCTCTCAAGAGTTTAACAAGCGCCATTCGTTTTGAACCCTTCCGAAAGACGATGTTTTTGCGTGAAAGCTCCTGCTGTAGACGAGTCAACGTCCAGTTCTCCAGAAGTTCCGGGTCGTACGGAGTGGGCCGGTTGGATGTGCGCTTAGGACCCATGATGGTTGAGAATGTCGGAGAATATAGCGAACTTCACTCCAAGAATGAAGAATAAGGCAAGACAGACTATACTGTATACCTGCGTTGTCCTAGGCAGCTGAATTATAGTAACTTACCGACGTAAAAGTCATATTCCGTAGCACTCATGAAAAAACAAATCGCCAATGTAACTACACTATAATCCGTATGCTACTGATCCTAGCCCAAAATGGCGCAGTGAATGTCCGACCGCTAGCACACCGAATAAAACTGAATTTGTTGATCCATAGTGATACTGAACTGTCCGAAAAATTAAGGAAACTGATCAAAAGTTGTTATTACAACACTTCTCCAAAGTATGTCACCCTAGTCGTCAAACGTGAAGAAATATTGATAGGAAATACGTAGAATAATACACATCGACAACCGTGGTTCACTGCAGCCTCCCCGGATGAAGGGGGCTGCTACCAATTAAGAGACCCCTATAGGGGACAATATACTGCTCTGCGATTGGTCAATTCCCATCTACTAATTACCATACCTTCATTAACATATATAACCCAAACAACCCATGCCATAATTATGACTGAATAGAGAAACGTCATGAGTTGGATATAACTATACAAAACAACTTATATTATATAATAACAACTAAAACAAAAGAGGAGCTGGCTACATCGTTGTATACAAACTATAATTTAATATATGAAATATCAAATTATCATTTGATTGTTGTGTTGTTGTTACAGTGCAGACGACGCATGCTCCGATAGTCTGTCGACCCAATGAGTTCAAGTGTCGAAACCAACATTGTATTGGCATGAATCTACGATGTAACGGTCACAGCGATTGCCTTGACGGCAGTGATGAAGACCGCTGTTGTAAGTTTCCATTATTATTCTACATGAAGCCATTCACCCCTTAAGTCACATTTGAACCTTACCAAATGAAAGACTGGGCAAGTCCAGTTTAAATATGTAGGGGTGAAGGAGTTAACTCATTCATCCCTGAAGACACATTTGAACTCTTCCAATTCAAAGGGTTTGAACAGTTCATTATGAAAATTCAGGGATGAGTGAGTTAAATAGGAATGTTTGATGACAAAGGTTAAGAAATAAGTCTTCATGGAAATTAATGGAACTGGTAAAAATGACAACTTCCTTAAAAATGGTTATGCAAATGTATTTAGTCCTCATTGGTTAGAAAATTATATTTCTTAATAAACTCTTTTCCATTGACCAGATAGTAATACTAACCGGTAATATGAATTTACAGGGTTTTGACTCGGCTAGCCACAGGCTTCTTATCTCATTTACTCCCGAAATTTCATAATGAACTACTCAAACCTTTGAATTGGAAGAGTCCAAATGTGTTTTCAGGGGTGAATGAGCTAAATAAATAATGTGTGGTGTGCCTCGATGTCTTAGATGAGAAAAACCAGCAGACTGTTGAAAATTATTCCCCAAGCTTGATTTCACAGTTTTGTTGAAATAATACCCTAGAATACAAATTTTGTTTCATGCACCAAAATTTAAGGGTTTTTTCCCTGAAATGCTTTTTAACGGGTCCTTGTCTGCATTTACGCATTAACAGAACTACCACATTTTTTTTGGACAATTTGAAATTTCCTTATAGTCCTGCAGACTGCAATATAAAATAAATATAAATCTTGAATAACTTTCCTTCTCAAACAAGTATTACAGTATAGAATTTGTTTTATTTTTGGATGGGTGTTTTTTTTCGAAAGAATTCTGAAATGTTTGTGTTTGCGTAACAGATATGAGCACGACATCACGGCCGGTGGTCTGCAATGCTGGTCAGTTCCAATGTGACAACAAATTGTGTATTCCCACCTCCTGGGTGTGTGATAACTACCCTGACTGTGACAACGGCCAGGACGAGAAAGACTGCAATGGTAGGTCAACGCGTCTGTCTGTAGTATTATAGGTCAAGGTTATCCTAGTCACCAAAATTGGGGGAGCTCAGTCATCTCTGGTCATCAAGGTGAGGTAGGTCAAGGTTGTTTGGGTTCAAAATGAGATGGATCAAGGTCATTCCAGGTACTAGGGTGAGGAAATTCAAGGTAATCTTAAGTCACTTCAGTAAGAGAAAAGGTGTTCTCCTGTTAACAAAAACAAGATCATGACACTTTATTTAAGGCTGTCTTAGGTCATGACATGAAGGTGGGTCAATATTGATTTTACCATAAACCTATAAGTGAAAATAGTCTGGAGTCAGTATAGTATGGTTTGTGTGTACAGTGAAACCTTGTTAGTCTGGACACTTTGGTTTGTGTGTACAGTAGAACCTTGTTGGTCTGGACACTTTGGTTTGTGTGGACAGTAGAACCTTGTTGGTCTTGACACTTTGGTTTGTGTGGACAGTAGAACCTTGTTGGTCTGGACACGTTGGTTTGTGTGGACAGTGGAACCTTGTTGGTCTGGACACCGGGTTTTGTGGACAGTAGAACCTTGTTAGTCTTGACACTTTGGTGTGTGTGTACAGTAGAACCTTGTTAGTCTGGACACTTTGGTGTGTGTGTACAGTAGAACTTTGTTGGTTTAGACACTTCGGTTTGGGTGTACAGTAGAATCTTGTTTGTCTGGACACTTTGGTTTGTGTGTATGGTAGAACCTTGTAAGTCTGGACACTTGGGTTTGTGCGAACAGTAGAACCTTGTTAGTCTTGACACTTTGGTTTGTGTAAACAGTGGAACCTTGTTGGTCTGGACACTTTGGTTTGTATTTACAGTAGAACCTTGTAAGTCTGGACACTTTAGATGGTGTATAGAGTAGAGCCTTGTAAGTTTAGACACTTTGGTTTGTGTGTACAGTAGAACCTTGTTAGTCTTGACACTTTGGTGTGTGTGTACAGTAGAACCTTGTTAGTCTTGACACTTTGGTTTATGTGTACAGTGGAACCTTGTTAGTCTGGACACTTTGGTTTGTGTGTACAGTAGAACCTTTTTAGTCCGAACACTTTGGTTTGTATATACAGTAGAACCTTGTTAGTCTGAACACTTTGGTTTGTATGTACAGTAGAACCTTGTTAGTCCGGACACTTTGGTTTGTGTGTACAGTAGAACCTTGCTGGTTCAGACACTTTGGTTTGTGTGTACAGTAGAACCTTGTTGGTTTAGACACTTCGGTTTGTGTGTACAGTAGAATCTTGTTTGTCTGGACACTTTGGTTTGTGTGTACAGTAGAACCTTGTTAGTCTTGACACTTTGGTTTGTGTGTACAGTAGAACTTTGTTAGTCTGGACACTTTGGTTTGTGTGTACAGTAGAACCTTTTTAGTCTGAACACTTTGGTTTGTGTGTACAGTAGAACCTTGTTAGTCTGGACACTTTCGTTTGTGTGTACAGTAGAACCTTGCTGGTTTAGACCCTTTGGTTTGTGTGTACAGTAGAACTTTGTTGGTTTAGACCCTTATGTTTGTGTGTACAGTAGAACCTTGTTGATCTGGACACTTTGGTTTGTGTGTACAGTAGAACCTTGTTGGTCTAGACTCTCTGGTTTCTGTGCATTGGAACTTTGTTAGTCTTGCAGATGAAAAAACCAAATTGATATTCTATGTTGAAGCAGACCAGTCCTGAGAATATGGTTTAGCTGGTGTAATATCTGTATTTGGAAGCAGGCAATATCGCCAGATGTAGGCGGAGGTTGTAGGTTATCACAAATATATTCACTTTTGGAATGTTATTCATTTCATATGCAGTTTAAGTGATATTCTAAGCAAGGATACAATATAAAGTGACGTTACTTACTCCCGACAGGTACCCAGGTGTGTGGCCCTACAGATTTCCGATGCGAGATGGTGGAGGGTTGTACAACCTTGAACCGCGTTTGCGATGGCGTCAACGACTGTGCCGATAACTCAGATGAGTATAATTGCGGATCATCCACCCCGGGTAAGTACAGTATAGCTGGTTATTTTCATAGAGGATTTAACTCATTCACCCCTGAAGACACATTTGAACTCTTCCAATTCAAAGGTTGGAATAGTTCATTGTGCAATTTCAGGGGTCAATGAGTTAATATTGATATATTCGCTCTCACCAAAAGAAGAAAGCAATTACCCATCAAATATAATACCATGAAAGACTGAGATAAGAGAAAAGACCCATTTACCCTTTTATTGTCGAATAATGAAGATTAAAAAAACCTAATGCAATATCTTCATTTTCATAAAACACTGGTCAAATGAATCATCATATCACACAAATGCTTAAGTATCCTCTTGAGCACAATAATTTTTCCAGGAAATGTGGCATAAATTTTAATCCCATGAATTAGTTCTGATCAATACAACTGCAAAATATTAGCTCTACAGATCACTGTATAGGTTTAAATATTTGCTGGGTCTATAATTATGTACCGTCTCTGGTGACCAAGAATACGAAATTGATTCCCCCGATAATTGAGGATAAGAGATTTGAAAACAAATAAAGATTATTTTGTTACATTAGAGGATAAGAGATTTCACGATGAATAGAGATGTCTTAATGACAAATGATGATAAGATATTTCATGAAGAATAAGGATGTCTTAATGACAAATGATGATAAGATATTTCATGCAGAATAAAGATGTCTTAATGACAAATGATGATAAGATATTTCATGAAGAATAAGGATGTCTTAATGACAAATGATGATAAGATATTTCATGCAGAATAAAGATGTCTTAATGACAAATGATGATAAGATATTTCATGAAGAATAAGGATGTCTTAATGACAAATGATGATAAGATATTTCATGCAGAATAAAGATGTCTTAATGACAAATGATGATAAGATATTTCATGAAGAATAAGGATGTCTTAATGACAAATGATGATAAGATATTTCATGCAGAATAAAGATGTCTTAATGACAAATGATGATAAGATATTTCATGCAGAATAAAGATGTCTTAATGACAAATGATGATAAGATATTTCATGCAGAATAAAGATGTCTTAATGACAAATGATGATAAGATATTTCATGCAGAATAAAGATGTCTTAATGACAAATGATGATAAGATATTTCATGCAGAATAAAGATGTCTTAATGACAAATGATGATAAGATATTTCATGCAGAATAAAGATGTCTTAATGACAAATGATGATAAGATATTTCATGCAGAATAAAGATGTCTTAATGACAAATGATGATAAGATATTTCATGCAGAATAAAGATGTCTTAATGACAAATGATGATAAGATATTTCATGCAGAATAAAGATGTCTTAATGACAAATGATGATAAGATATTTCATGAAGAATAAGGATGTCTTAATGACAAATGATGATATTTCATGAAGAATAAGGATGTCTTAATGGCAAATGATGATAAGATATTTCACGATGAACAAAGATGTCTTAATCACAAATGATGATAAGATATTTCATGCAGAATGAAGATGTCTTAATGACAAATGATGATAAGATATTTCATGAAAGATAAGAATGAGTTGATGGCACATTGATATTTGTTCTGTAGCAGTTACACAGAAACCGGGCCACTGCACCGCGTGTGACGCCCATCACTTGACCTGTTCGAGGTACTGTAAGTGTGTACTTTGGATGAATACCTGTGACCAGATCAGTGACTGTTTGGACAACTCAGATGAGATGCTGCCCAGTTGTCAGAATCGTCTAGGTAGGTTCATCATAAAAAAGGAAGAGACATTTCAGGTAACCGGAGACAAAGGCTCAAATGACATGTTACAATCCCTCTTAGCCTGTCGTCTGCTAATAATTGACATTTTGAGCATCTTTTTAAAAAAAATATGAAGTTCAGGATCACTCAAGAGAATCACACATCTCAAGTTAACTTGTAAGACAGATTAATTGTTTGTATGAAACCGAAAATTAATTATTGAATTGAAATTGATTCTCATCAGTATAAATTTGACATGTGAATGTTTATTTCCGCAGTCAATACTGGATATATCCAAGACATTGACAGCGACAGTGACAGTATATCTATGAGATGGAATCATTTGTTCGCGGTCCAAGTGTCCTACACGGTCTCGTTTATGTAAGTTTGACTTGTTCATGTAAGCCTGTCTCATTCATGCTTACAAGGAGGCACGGTAATGTAGTGGTAGGACGCAGGGCTCGTGACCGAAGGGTTGCGGGATTGAGTCACGTCACAGCACTGTGTTGTATCTTTGAGCAAGATACTTTACTCAGCTTGTTCCAGTCTACTCAGCTGTAAATGAGTATGTGGTTGGGCAGTGCTTAAATTGTTGAATGCTAGCTGTAAGTGCCGAAATGGCAGCACCGGCTGTATATATGCTCCCCAGGGAGTTGAGAAAGGTGTTGGCTAGTTGCAAAGGCCCTATAACCACGAATAATAATTTGTGAACCATTTTGAGATGACCTACGAACTAGGTTGTGATAAAGCGGTTTATAAAAACCTCAAATTATTATTATTATTATTATTATGCAAGTCAAACTCATTCTTGAAAGCTTGAATGATTCAATTATTACGAAAGCTTTTTTCCATTCTGTCTTGCATACAGTTCAACCTTTGATTTTTTTTCAGCGAGGCAAATAATGAGGGGTCGTATCAGAACAAGAGTGTTGGGAACGCCACCAAGTTTACAATATCCAACCTACGACCTCTGACATCATATCGTATAAGGGTATACGCCAAAGAGAATGGTGGCCTGGAATTCCCGTTCACCGCAAGGCGTGATTACGAAACTAAAGAAGGAGGTTAGTTCAGACTTCTTTTTCTCCCAAACTTCACAGGTGCATTCAAATTTTTGCTGAGGACAAGACTGATAAAATCAATTTCCTGTTATTAGTGATGGGTTGATGATCCATGGGTGGTGGTCGGTTGGTGCAGTGGATAGCACAATTGTCTTTCACCAAGGCGGCCAGGGTTCGATTCCCCAATCGGACTTGGAAAAGTATGGGGTCACCTGCCCGACCACGTGGGTTTTCTCCGGGTACTCCGGTTCCCTCCCACACTAAGACCCCCCCCCTCGCTCTTACCTCCGGGCTAACAAGAGTGATTAGTATAAGTTGACATAACTTGTTTCATAATTGTTATAAAACAAATAGAGCTAATATTTTATATTTGATGATCGATTGTATTAAAAAAATTGATCCGTTTGCCATTTCCGATCCCAATTATTGATTACAAATTCCATAATCAATCTAATCGGTTCATCATTGAAATCCGAGTATTTAAATGTCTTCCATGTAAAGTACACTTTGAAAGTCACACATTGTTATGATTTATACAATATGATTGATAAAAACGCATAAAAGTTGCTTGACATCCATTCAGTATAAAAGATAGAAACCAAGTGTATAGTTAACAACTCTGTCTACTGATGTTATAAGTAGTGTTCTCACTGTATTTGGGTATTCACTCCCAAAAAATTATAAACCGATTATGCAATCGATCATCGATTGGTTTACTCCTTCCGATTACAAACCGGTTATCCATTATGATTTTTAACCGATTTCCCATCACTACCTGTTACTGATCATTGTAAGCGTCCAATTTTATTACATCAGTGTAGTATTATACAATATGTTTTTTTCGCCTTTTTGTAGTGCCCGACGCCCCTGTGAACTTTCAAGCAAGTTACAATGGTCAAGAAAATTACTTCAAGCTCCAGTGGAAGCCCCCTGGGAACAACAGTGGCGTCATACGACACTACACAGTTAGTCGTCAAGAATATATCACTCTACCGTGTTCCTTTTTATCACATAATGTTCTGTGTTATCCAGGGAATATACCCATGTCCTATTTTTTTTTGCATATTGACACATGTAATATGACCTATCAGCCCTGTGATAGGTTGTAAGTTTCATTTTTTTTTCAATTGTGACGTCACGCCTAGGACAAGAACATGACGTCACAGGCTTATGTACTGGAGTCAAAGTGTCAGCTTTTTACATTTCAAGGTTGCATGAAAATTGTCGTTTTACACGAAAAAATGCGACAAATCTTGATTATACGATAAAAAGGATCTTACACTCGTTTTCATTTCATATGAAATTTACCGGTATGAAACTCGTCACCAAGTGCCAGAGGCTTTTTGCTAAATTGAAAAATTCCTAGACTTGTTTCCTAAATCTCATATGAAATGGAAACTCATATAAGATTCTATATGTACAGGGGAAATTTTGCCACAGTGAAGTTTTTGCCTTTTTTCACCTTTCATATAATGAGGGTAATATATACAGTAGTCAAATATGAAAGTTGAAAATTAGCACTAGGCGAAAATAGATTTTATCAGCTTAGGGCGAATGAACTCTGCGTATCTTTTACCCTAATATTGAACCAATTTATAAATCATCCATACCACTGGAAAGAGCACGCTATAGTTTGCTTTATACTGAGAATGTAAACTTCAAATTACAGATAAGATGGATATTAGTGTAGATCAAATACTTACAGTGAAATAGAATTTAGGAAATTGAATATATATGAGGTATAGTTTCCCTAATATGTTGTCTTAAAATATTGAAATATTCTTAAAATTAACTTGCATTTTGTTTGATTTGAAGGTACTATGTTAAAGTTTTGAACACTGGGAAAAACAACGAGGGTTGGTGGGAGAAACAGAAATAGGGTTGACGGGAATGCAGTAATAGGGTTGATGGAGAAACAGAAATAGGGTTGACAGGGATACAGAAAAAGGGTTGATGGAGAAACAGAAATAGGGGTGATGGAGAAACAGAAATAGGGTTTACAGGGATACAGAAATAGGGTTGATAGAGAAATAGAAATAGGGTTGACAGGGATGCAGAAATAGGGTTGATGGAGAAACAGAAATAGGGGTGATGGAGAAACAGAAATAGGGTTTACAGGGATACAGAAATAGGGTTGATGGCGATATAGAAACAGGGTTGACAGGGATACAGATATAGGGTTGATTGAGAAACAGAAATAAAGTTGATGGTAAAACAGAAATAGGGTTGATAGAGAAATAGAAATAGGGTTGACAGGGATGCAGAAATAGGGTTGATGGAGAAACAGAAATAGGGTTTACAGGGATACAGAAATAGGGGTGATGGAGAAACAGAAATAGGGTTGATGGGGATATAGAAACAGGGTTGACAGGGAGACAGATATAGGGTTGATTGAGAAACAGAAATAGGGTTGGTGGCGATATAGAAACAGGGTTGACAGGGATACAGGTATAGGGTTGATTGAGAAACAGAAACAAAGTTGATGGTAAAACAGAAATAGGGTTGATAGAGAAATAGAAAGAGGGTTGACAGGGATGCAGAAATAGGGTTGATTGAGAAACAGAAATAAAGTTGATGGTAAAACAGAAATAGGGTTGATATAGAAATAGGGTTGACAGGGATGCAGAAATAGGGTAAATTGAGAAACAGTAATAAAGTTGATGGTAAAGCAGAAATAGGGTTGATAGAGAAATAGAAAAAGGGTTGACAGGGATGCAGAAATAAGGTTAATTGAGAAACAGAAATAGGGTTGATGGCGATATAGAAACAGGGTTGACAATGATGCTGCTTGCAGAAACAGTGTTGACAAGGATACAGATATAGGGTTGATTGGGAAACAGAAATAGAGTTGATGGAGAAACAGAATTAGGGTTGATGGAGAAACAAATGTAAGTAGATGAAGGGACAAAAAATAGGGTTGATTTAGAAATAGGGTTGACAGGGATGCAGAAATTGTGTTGAAAGAGACACAGAAATAGGGTTGATGGAGAGACAGAAATAGGGCTGATAGAGAAAGAGACATAAGATTGATTTGCAAACTTTTGACATTTCAGCTGTACTACACCACCACTGGGTCATCAAAACCTATGATTAAGATTATACCACTCGTCGCCTCCTACAGACTTTACATTCCCACTGAGACAGCAGGCCTCACCTATAAATTCTGGGTAAGTTAACAACGGAAGGCAACTATCTGTAGTGTTAGGCTTCACACGCTCTGGGGAGCATCAAATGTAAGGGAGGTAACTGTTGGCAGTACTGGCTAGGGGGAGGATTGCATGTTAGGAAAGTAATTTTCAGTAGGGAGGTAACTGTGTGCTGTCTAAGGGAGGTAACCGCAGTGTTGTGTACACAAACATGAGGAGGGTCATGTCTGAGGGAACGGGGTGGGGTGGGGTCATGTCTAAGGGAGGTAACTGCAGTGTTGTGTACACAAACATGAGGTGGGTCATGTCTGAGGGAACGGGGTGGGGGGGGGTCATGTCTAAGGGAGGTAACTGCATTGTTGTGTACACAAACATGAGGAGAGTCATGTCTGAGGGAACGGGGTGGGGGGGGGTCATGTCTAAGGGAGGTAGCTGTTGTGTTGTGTACACAAAACATGAGGAGGATCTTGTCTAAGGGAGGTAACTGTGGTGTTGTGTACACAAACATGAGGCGGGTCATGTCTAAGGGAGGTAACTGCATTGTTGTGTACACAAACATGAGGATGGTCATGTCTGAGGGAACGGGGTGGGGTGGGGGCATGTCTAAGGGAGGTAACTGCAGTGTTGTGTACACAAACATGAGGAGGGTCATGTCTAAGGGAGGTAGCTGTGGTGTTGTGTACACAAAACATGAGGAGGATCATGTCTAAGGGAGGTAACTGTGGTGTTGTGTACACAAACATGAGGAGGGTCATGTCTAAGGGAGGTAACTGTGGTGTTGTGTACACAAACATGAGGAGGGTCATGTCTAAGGGAGGTAACTGTGGTGTTGTGTACACAAACATGAGGAGGGTCATGTCTAAGGGAGGTAACTGTGGTGTTGTGTACACAAACATGAGGAGGGTCATGTCTAAGGGAGGTAACTGTGGTGTTGTGTACACAAACATGAGGAGGGTCATGTCTAAGGGAGGTAACTGTGGTGTTGTGTACACAAACATGAGGAGGGTCATGTCTAAGGGAGGTAACTGTGGTGTTGTGTACACAAACATGAGGAGGGTCATGTCTAAGGGAGGTAACTGTGGTGTTGTGTACACAAACATGAGGAGGGTCATGTCTAAGGGAGGTAACTGTGGTGTTGTGTACACAAACATGAGGAGGGTCATGTCTAAGGGAGGTAACTGTGGTGTTGTGTACACAAACATGAGGAGGGTCATGTCTAAGGGAGGTAACTGTGGTGTTGTGTACACAAACATGAGGAGGGTCATGTCTAAGGGAGGTAACTGTGGTGTTGTGTACACAAACATGAGGAGGGTCATGTCTAAGGGAGGTAACTGTGGTGTTGTGTACACAAACATGAGGAGGGTCATGTCTAAGGGAGGTAACTGTGGTGTTGTGTACACAAACATGAGGAGGGTCATGTCTAAGGGAGGTAACTGTGGTGTTGTGTACACAAACATGAGGAGGGTCATGTCTAAGGGAGGTAACTGTGGTGTTGTGTACACAAACATGAGGAGGGTCATGTCTAAGGGAGGTAACTGTGGTGTTGTGTACACAAACATGAGGAGGGTCATGTCTAAGGGAGGTAACTGTGGTGTTGTGTACACAAACATGAGGAGGGTCATGTCTAAGGGAGGTAACTGTGGTGTTGTGTACACAAACATGAGGAGGGTCATGTCTAAGGGAGGTAACTGTGGTGTTGTGTACACAAACATGAGGAGGGTCATGTCTAAGGGAGGTAACTGTGGTGTTGTGTACACAAACATGAGGAGGGTCATGTCTAAGGGAGGTAACTGTGGTGTTGTGTACACAAACATGAGGAGGGTCATGTCTAAGGGAGGTAACTGTGGTGTTGTGTACACAAACATGAGGAGGGTCATGTCTAAGGGAGGTAACTGTGGTGTTGTGTACACAAACATGAGGAGGGTCATGTCTAAGGGAGGTAACTGTGGTGTTGTGTACACAAACATGAGGAGGGTCATGTCTAAGGGAGGTAACTGTGGTGTTGTGTACACAAACATGAGGAGGGTCATGTCTAAGGGAGGTAACTGCGGTGTTGTGTACACAAACATGAGGAGGGTCATGTCTAAGGGAGGTAACTACAGTGTTGTGTACACAAAACATGAGGAGGGTCATGTCTAAGGGAGGTAACTGTGGTGTTGTGTACACAAACATGAGGTGGGTCATGTCTAAGGGAGGTAACTGTAGAGTTGTGTACACAAAACATGAGGAGGGTCATGTCTAAGGGAGGTAACTACAGTGTTGTGTACACAAACATGAGGAGGGTCATGTCTAAGGGAGGTAACTGTGGTGTTGTGTACACAAACATGAGGAGGGTCATGTCTAAGGGAGGTAACTGTGGTGTTGTGTTGTCTATATAAATATGTAGAAAGATCCTGTGAAATGGAGGTAACTTATTTTTGTAGATTACAGCATCTACAAATACGGGGGAGGGAAAGAATTCTAAGAAAGTGACTTTAACTTTGGACGATGAACTGCTGGTGACTGGAGTTGAGAATCTGACGTTGACACCTGGTCAGTACAGTGTGTCCCTGGCCTGGTCCAAGCCTAACAGTAAAGCTACGGTTACAGAATATCAAGTCATGTACAACGATGCACTGGGGACGGAACAAATACTGAAAACTAACGCCACAACTCTGCAAGGTAAGTAATTCTGTCAGTTATTTTCTGCCTTATTAGGTAAAAAAACCTCCTAAACTCTGGTATCAATCTTGATTTGATTCCCTACCATTTATGGGTAGTTTCCCCTACAGAAGAAAATTCCCCTGTTCTTTGAAATTCCACCTATGTGCTTCAAAATTCCCCTATTTCAACAAGAAAATGGCCATTTTTCTTCAAAATATTTCGCCCACTTATGTTTTCTAGTTCAACAGTTAAAATGCATAATACTGCATATATACATTTTCTTCACATAATTCAATCAAAAATTCTGTAATTTTAAGCTAAGTTTTTTATAAATTAAAATATACTGCACACAGGTATGTCAGACAAAACATTTATCTTTTACCTTCATGACGCTAGTGCATTGTATCAAAATTTAATTTCCCCCAAATCTGAAAAAAAAGCAGATTCCCCTAAAACCTAGATTGATCCTGGATAGTGATCATTGACAACAGGCAACATGGTTAACATCATCCCCGATATCCAGGGGTTACGCTCACATTCGCTCCCTGCATCCCTGGAACATATCATTGCAAAACTGAAAGCTAAGTGTGCACCGCTTTGTGGATGAGACAAGAAGACTAAATTAATCCTTTGATGTATATCAAAAGAATTTCCCAGATGCATAACAGTAAAATTGACTGGCTTTGATGTCGGGTGTCTCTCCATTGTATTCTTCTTAGGACAGGTATCAGCCTGGCGATTGGTCAGGTTGTTTTACCTTAGACCAATCAAATTGCGAACCCTGTGCCTTTTGGGCCTGTATCCCTTGGATTTTATGTAGGATGGGTTGTCAATAAATATACATGATTTATTTAATTGTTAATATCTAAAGCATAAACAGAAAATGATTAAATAAAAGTTGCAAAATGTTCATTTCACAAGCTAAATTGGAGTTATCTTCCCTGCACTGTTTAATTGAATTGTTATGACAGAATATATGTAATGTTTGTAAATAAGTTTGGAAAGGACTTAAATAGGCCTAGCCTGATGTCCAATCCAATTGACATATGTAAAGTCAATAAAATCTGTTGAAACGAAAAGTGCCTTCATTTCCTGGGCCCATATTCATGAAGTCACTCAGATGCTTAAAATCAGATTCTTGCTCAAGCTGGTTTCCTTGTTCCAGTGATAAAGTAAGGAAAATAAAACATTTTTAGCCCACAATTATCAGATGGTGGGCTGTTCAAATCACCCTTGGTCCATGGTCCGTCAGTCCTGAAACAGTTCTTGTTATTGCTATTTCTCAGAGAGTGCTATTATTATGCATATAAAATTTTGGGGGCCATCTTAAATTTCAAGGGCTCAAATTTGTTAGCTCTATTTCTCTGAAGTACTGGAGGAATCTTTCTGAAATTACACAGCTAGGTTCCCCCTTGCTGATATAAAATTTTGGAACTAATCTGGGAAAACCAGGATGGCCAACAGGCAGCCACCATCCCATCCATGTATATAAACTGTGTTGACATGATACATATATATATATATATATATGTAAGGTTGTGTAGAGATGATACATATATATATATATATATGTAAGGTTGTGTTGACATGATACATATATATATGTAAGGTTGTGTTGACATAAGTACATCAGGTTGTGTTGACACCTATACAATTGAAGTCTGAAGTTACATCAACGGCAAGGCTAAAGTCTATGATTTTCTTGTTAAACAGTGCCCCACCTGTGCCCTCACCAAAGATACACGTTCCACGTAAAGGCCATCAACGGCCACGGACCCAGTCCTCCTGTGTCGCACGCAACATCTACAGGTAAGTACGATATATTATGATACCTCATCTATGTAATGTGTCAGAGTAACTTATATTAATCTCATGATGGGAAATAAAACACTGTGTCGCCCCTCACATGCTCAAGTTTCCTTCGTCTTGTTTCCCATATTCTTAGCCTCTCTAGCAACTGCACAATAGCGACCACTCCTGTGTTCTGAAGCAGATGAAAATGGTTGTGTGTCTACTTGGAAATCTTGGTATAATGAAATATTAATGCCCTTTTTGTAGGGAAAACACAATTCTTTGTTTCATCTTGATTTAATTGGTTTTATGACAATATATGTATATACTGCACCTGAAAATGTATACATCCCTAATAATAATAATTCATCACTAGGTCAAATGTCAACATAGGCTATTATAAAACATGATTATGGAACAATTATAAAATATGATTATGGAACTATTATAAAATATGATTATAGAACTATTATAAAATATGATTATGGTACTATTATAAAATATGATTATGGAACACAATTAAACTAAGTAACAGTCTGAGATAAAACGCTACCAAGTTCCCTCAAATAAATGACATTGACCCACTTTCAAGTTTCGAGGCAAGAAAGGTAAAATATGTGAAAACTTAAAACAACATTATCTATAATGTGTCCACTCAAGATCTATGATACTGAAATGGTTCCTTTTCTAATGTGTTTGAGGTCAAAGGTCAAATGTAAGAGCTGACTTAAGGATCAAAAGGCTGTTATTCGTAAAAAGAGCATTATCAATTTTCATCTTCAGTACAAAAAAGCTAAGAGTCATATTTCACCAGTAGTTATATCAATGATACTGTATGCAGGGAAATTTTCAACCAGTCAAAGTCAAAATAATCCGAATTGGCCCAGTGTTAACTTCGCCCTTCACATTAAATTACTATGCATATTATGTTGTTAACTCAAGCTCGCTGTAATGATAAATTCATCCGTATTATGGAGGGCAAAAAATAAAACTGCCACAAAAATGTCCTGTTGTACAGGAGTTCCTCAGCCAAATGCTGTTAACCCTTTCACCCCTATGTAACTTTAGTAGACTCTACCATGCATTTTTCTGGATGAGTCCATTATGGTCTACAGTTTGAAAGGATTAATCTGCCTCAGTGTTACATATTTTGCAAACAAAGTCACAGAAGTGAAATATTTAAAAAAACAAAAAAACACAATTTTTGAAAAAGTACCTTGGGAGAGGCATGCTATGTTTGTTTGTTATTCCGATCCATTAATGCAAAGTTTAATGTATTGTGACTGTTTGCTTACAATCATTGGTAAAGGAAGTGATACTTAAAGGGAAAATTATGAATCTGTGGTTTTTACCTCGGGAGACAAAGAGAATGTTGTCCTTAAAAAACTCTATTAATAGTGAAAAGTATTTATTTTAGATTCTTAATAATTATATACTTTCCCCTGTAGCTCCAGGTTCAGTCCACTATGTAACACCTACCGACCTTTCCTGTGACAACGTTAGCCCTGGGAACTACAAAATCACATGGAAAGCCCCCAAAACAGGTCCTGCAAATGTGGTAAGTATTAAAATAAGGGGCAGTTACTCTGGCAAGTTGTTAACAATAAGGGCGGTAACTCTGGTGAGTGATAAAATAAGGGGCTGTAATTCTAGTGAATGATGAAATTAGGGGCATTAATTCTAGTTAGTGTTTATGATATAAGGGGCAGTAATTCTAGTGAGGTGTTAACAATAAAGGGAAGTAACTATGGTGAGTTGTTTAAAATAGGGGCGCTTACTCTGGTGAGTGATAAAATAAGGGGTTGTAGTTCTAGTTAGTGTTAAAATAAGGGGCAGTAACTCTTTTGAGTTGTTAAAAATAAGGGGCAGTGACTGGTGAGTGATAAAATAAGGGGCTGTAATTATAGTAAGTGTTAAAATAAGGGGCAGTAACTCTGTTGAGTTGTTAAAAATAAGGGGCAGTAACTCTGGTGAGTGATAAAAGAAGGGGCAGTAACTCTGGTGAGTGATAAAATAAAGGCCAGTAATTCTAGTGAGTGGTAAAATAAGGGGCAGTTACTCTGGTGAGTGATAAACTAAGGGGCTGTAAATTTAGTTAGTTTTAAAATAAGAGGCAGTAACTCTGTTGAGTTGTTAAAAATAAGGGGCAGCTACTCTGGTGAGTGATAAAACAAGGGGCAGTAACTCTGGTAAGTGATAAAATAAGGGGCAGTAATTCTAGTGAGTGTTAAAATAAGGGGCAGTTACTCAGGTGAGTGATAAGATAAGGGGCAGTTACTCTGGTGAGTGATAAACTAAGGGGCTGTAATTCTAGTTAGTGTTAAAATAAGGGGAAGTTACTCTGGTGAGTGAAAAAAACAAGGGGGAGTAACTCTGGTGAGTGATCAAATAAGGGGCAGTTATTATATTTAGTGTTCAAATAAGGGGCAGTAGCTCTGGTGAGTGATAAAATAAGGGGCAGTATATCTAGTTAGTGTTCAAATAAGGGGCAGTAACTCTGGTGAGTGTTAACAATAAGAACTTACATGTTTTCCAATATTTACTGTTAGGGTGTTTCTGTCACACACACTAATCAGAGACTGTTAAGGTGTTTCTGTCAAAAACACTAATCAGAGATTGTTAGGGTGTTTCTGTGACACACACCAATCAGAGACTGTTAGGGTGTCTCTGTCACACACACTAATCAGAGATTAGTCATGCTTCTGTCACACACACGAATCAGAGATCAGTCATGCTACTGTCATACACACTAATCAGAGATTAGTCATGCTTCTGTCACACACACGAATCAGAGATCAGTCATGCTACTGTCACACACGCACCAATCAGAGACTGTTAGGGTGTTTCTGTAACACACACTAATCAGAGATCTGTCTTGCTTCCGTCACACACACCAATCAGAGACTGTTAGGGTGTCTCTGTCACACACACTAATCAGAGACTGGTAGGGTGTTTCTGTCACACACACTAATCGGAGATTGTTAGGGTGTTTCTGTAACACACACTAATCAGAGATCTGTCTTGCTTCCGTCACACACACCAATCAGAGACTGTTAGGGTGTCTCTGTCACACACACTAATCAGAGACTGTTAGGGGGTTTCTGTCACACACACTAATCAGAGACTGTTAGGGTGTTTCTGTCACACACACTAATCAGAGACTGTTAAGGTGTTTCTGTCACAAACACTAATCAGAGATTGTTAGGGTGTTTCTGTCACACACGACAATCAGAGACTGTTAGGGTGTTTCTGTCACACACACCAATCAGAGATTGTTAGGGTGTTTCTGTCACACACACTAATCAGAGATTGTTAGGGTGTTTCTGTGACACACACCAATCAGAGACTGTTAGGGTGTTTCTGTCACACACACTAATCAGAGACTGTTAGGGTGTTTCTGTCACACACACTAATCGGAGATTGTTAGGGTGTTTCTGTAACACACACTAATCAGAGATCTGTCTTGCTTCCGTCACACACACCAATCAGAGACTGTTAGGGTGTTTCTGTCAAACACACTAATCAAAGACTGTTAGGGTGTTTCTGTCACACACACTTATCAGAGATTGTTAGGGTGTTTCTGTCACACACACCAATCAGAGACTGTTAGGGAGTTTCTGTCACACACACTAATCAGAGATCATTCATGCTACTGTCACACACACTAATCAGACATCAGTCATGCTACTGTCACACATGCTAATCAGAGATCAGTCATGCTTCTCTCACATACACCAATTAGAGATCAGTCATGTTACTGTCACACACACTTATCTGAGATCAGTCATGCTACTGTCACACTCACTAATCAGAGATCAGTCATGCTACTGTCACACACACTTATCAGAGATCAATCATGCCACAGTCACACACACTAATCACAGATCAGTCATGCTGCTGTCACACACACTAATCAGAGATCAGTCATGCTACTGTCACACACACTTATCAGAGATCAATCATGCCACAGTCACACACACTAATCACAGATCAGTCATGCTACTGTCACACACACTTATCAGAGATCAATCATGCTACTGTCACACACACTAATCAGAGATCAGTCATGCTTCTGTCACACACACTAATCAGAGATCAGTCATGCTACTGTCACACATGCTAATTAGAGATCAGTCGTGCTACTGTCACACACACTAATCAGAGATCAGTCATGCCACTGTCACACACACTAATCACAGATCAGTCATGCTACTGTCACACACACTAATCAGAGATCAGTCATGCTACATGTACCACATCACATTAAAGTTTTGCCTACTGTGCTTTGTCTACAGACCTATATCCTGTACTACGACTACTCAGCTAAAGACATGCAGTTGAGCAACATTGAGAGCCAAGCACACTCCGTAACAGTCAAAGGAAACACCTCGTATATGCTGACATCACTCCGAGCCTGTGAGACTTACTTCTACAGAGTGGGACTCAAGTATCCAGGCACATGCATGCCTGCTGACCAGACTTATTTTACAACTGAAGCTGGTAAGTTGTCGGTCTCGGTGCTTTCAAACATTTGACTAACCTAGAGCTTAACTCATTCACCTCTCAAGACATATTTGAACTCCTCCAATTCAAAGTTTGAAATAGATCACTACGGAATTTCAGGGGTGAATGAGTAAAGCATGCAGAAACACAACAGAAATTGAGTAGAGGGACATTAAGTGTTTCCCTTTTCCGTTGGTCCTTCCCAGTCCTACTTAGTTCCTCTTCCCTAATACTAGAATCCAACAATCATCAAATTTCATATGTGATTCATCGTGAGGCGTTCTACAGCAGTACATCAAATCAATGTCATTTTGACCTATTTTTTTTTGCGTCATTGACAATAATGAAACCTTTCATTTAGCTCTATTCCTTTGGTTAGATTTGACATTTAACTTCTTTTAATGTCGAAGCAGGAGTTTGAGGCATAGAACAGTATCTTAAGAAAAGTTTAATGAAAGTCGACCCCAAGTGGCTAATGCGTCGGACATTCTGCTACCACTAGCCCTCCACCATTGGGTTGCAAGTTCTAGGCCTACATGGGGCAGTAGCCAGGTTCTGGCCATAGGTTGATGGGTTTTTTCCGTGAACTCCGGCTTTCTCCAACAAAACCTGGCACGTCCTTAAATGGCCATAGCTGTTAATAATACGTAAAACACAAACAAACCAAATCAACTCCTCAAACAATTGTTCAAACAAATCAGCTTATGCCTCTAACTCCATTAGGAAACTAGTTGTGTAAATGGACCAATTTCAATGTTCCCCATTTTAGAGATATCTGTGTAAATTGAACCTGCTTTAACTCATTCACCCCTGAAATTTCAAAATGAACTATTCAAACCTTTGAACTGGAAGAGGTCAAATGGGTCTTTAGGGGTGAATGAGTTAAGAGACCATATTTTTGACTTCCATGGTTGGTCCCTTAACACTGGTTTATACAGTAGATAGCACATTCACCTTTTACAAGAAATTACGGGGTTCAATTCCTCGACCGATGAGAAAAAGCTATTGGGTGATCTGCCCGACTGCGCGGGTTTTCTCCAGGTACTCTTGTTTCCTCCCACATAGAGACCCTCTGCACACTTTCATTAGGGCAAACAAGAATTATTTATATAAGTTGGATAAACATGTTATATAATTGTTAAAAAATAAATAGAGTTTATACAACATAAAGTTGGAGGTACATAATTAATGCGCTTGATGTTATTTTGGAGGAAATTGGAGCCAGGTGTATGATCTTTGTTCTTTGTTGATAGATGACAAGGCACCCCCTAAGAACGTGGACTTCCGACTGGATTACAGGACGATGACTAGCGGGAAGTTGATGTGGGATCCACCGTGCCTGAACGTCAATGAACCCGATGTAAGTTACCATACACCAGGTCATGTGATGTAAATACAAAATGCATTAATTGCACAGAAAAAAAACCCTCCAAATTTACAGATTTTATAGTAGGTTAAATAATATCTGAAATTACTCCTGACTTCCCATTGGAAAAATTATTATGATGTCAACTCTAATTTTGGAATAGCAGAATATTACATATTAGTTTTCCCGAAACTAATCAGTTAAAAGTATAATATTACTTACTGTTTAAGTGCTTATTCTTATGAGGGATTCACTTTTTTATGTATCAGTGATCCATTTTAAATTTGCAAAATTATCTGATACTTGTTGTGAATATTTAATGGTATAATAAACAATATAGGAAAGTCCATGAATATTCAATAAGATCAATATTAATTGGATAATGGACAATATTCAGTCAATGAAAATTAATGAGATATTTAATGGAAAAATAAACTATTTCCAAGTAAATGAATATTTAATGAGATGAATACTTAATGGGATGAAATTTAATGAGACAAATATTTAAAAGGATGATAAACAATATTGAAGATTTAATGAGATGAAGATTTTATGAGGTATAAAACACCTATTTGTCAGTCTGTAAATATTAAATGACATGATAACCATTGTGTTTGGTGGTCTACAGAACTACACTGTACATCTTTATATATTAAATGACATGAGATAACCATTGTGTTTGGTGGTCTACAGAACAACACTGTGTACATCTTTATATATTTAATGACATCAGATAACCGTTGTGTTTTGATGGTCTACAGAATTACACTGTGTACATCTTTATATATTTAATGACATCAGATAACCATTGTGTTTGGTGGTATACAGAACAACACTGTGTACATCTTTATATATTAAATTACATCAGAGAACCATTGTGTTTGGTGGTCTACAGAACAACACTGTGGACATCTTTATATATTTAATGACCTCAGATAACCATTGTGTTTGGTGGACTACAGAACAACACTGTGTACATCTTTATATATTAAATGACATAAGATAACCATTGTGTTTGGTGGTCTTCAGAACTACAATGTGTACATCTTTATATTTTTAATGACTTACAATAACCATTGTGTTTGGTGGTCTACAGAACTACACTGTGTACATCTTTATATATTTAATGACATAAGATAACCATTGTGTTTGGTGGTCTTCAGAACTACAATGTGTACATCTTTATATATTTAATGACATAAGATAACCATTGTGTTTGGTGGTCTACAGAACTACACTGTGTACATCTTTATATATTAAATGACATAAGATAACCATTGTGTTTGGTGGTCT